TTCCTCTCTCTGAAATCAATAAAGATATATTTAAATAAATAAATAAATAAATAATAAATAATAAAAATAAAAATAAAAAATATTCCCAGTTGCTTGCACAATAGCTAAAGTACCACTTAATCTTGTAGGACTCTCCCACTGTCTTCACTCTACATTCTCTCTGCTTTTTCAGTCTCAGCTCACTCATGGTAAGTCCCGGACTGACAGCGTCAATTCTTAGAAAGATCAAAGACAAAGGACAAAAGACCCAGTGCATGCTCTCCTTGCAGGGAGCACACCCATGCATCTTCCTTCCTCCTCCTCTTCCCAGACAGGCATGCATCCTCTAAATTCTAAGGGACCTCACCAGGCTTGCAAACAGGAGAGCAATGGGCAGCGGCAGCTCATTGAGGACTAAGCCCCTGAACCTGTCTCCAAGGCCCCATTTTCTCTGACTTTTCGGTGAGCCAAAGCAGCTCTGCCTAACCTCTCTCCTGTTGTTGCTGCTATCCTAAGCCTTCCCTGTTTCACTGTTCCCAGCTGTAATAAACATGTTCTCAAAATCACTTCGACATATGTTGTGAAATATTTCCTGTAGGAAGTTAAGAACCCACACACTACAGCTTGGCCTGAGGCAGACCTGCTCTAGGCCCAGCCTTTTTCTGTTAACAATGGTAGTAATCTGATTATTACATTGATTAGACATTCCTGAATGCACAGGTTCTAAAGTGAAAATTGGATTTTTTTTATTATACACAAGTATTTCCATAAAATTAATTTGTAACTTTACAACCAAATAGATACAAACAGTTAAGACTGTCGGGGTGCAGATCTACACATCTTGTGACAGCCTGTGTCCTGGACCATCAGTTTCAAGGATGTTTGTATATCAAACAGCCTTGGAGGACAGAGCTCCCTCCAGTGCAGGGGACAGATTTGTTTCCTGAGCAGGTTGAAGATAGTATCTCTCTTTAGGAAAAAGTTGGTCATGTTTGCCAGAAATCTCCTTTGAAAGATTGGAAGGTTCCTAAGCTTGTGGTCCCTCAGCTGTGACACAAATCCACTGTGAGTACAGCACCCATGAAGTGGTCCACTGCCCATCTCCCCCTTTGGGTCTTGGGAGCTAGGGGAACTGATGCCTGTGAAGCTCATGCTTCCTGCTGGGCCCTGAAAAGAGTTGTGTCTCTAACCCAGGATCTGTGTCATTCAGCAGCCTCCATGAAACTGTGACTGGCTGACTTGTGGGCTTGAAAGCTGGGTGAGATCTCAGACTTCACCTAGCTCTTGAGAAAATAAGACAAATTAGAACTAGTATGTGCGGATGCAAAAAGGGGCTGTATGGAAAATAACCTCATAGGGTGATCTGATCATAAATTCCTAACTGGGTAAGTAGAGGTGGGTTATCACACCACAGGCATGTAATCTTTTTAGAAAAAGGTTTGTGTTTGCATTAAGCAAGCCCTGTCCATGGTTCTTCTGTATATAGGTTAATGCATCTTTGAAATATGGATCTCCACCCTCAAGAGAGCACATAATCTTGGTAACAATCCTATAATACACTCCCCCTTCCCTTGGTTTCTCCCACCTTCATGTAATCTTATGTTCCCTCCTTAATTTAAAATGTATAAAAGAATCTGCCAACTGTTATTGTGAGAATTTCTTTCAGTCTGTTGAGATCTTGCTTCCAGACGTATCCTCCATTTGGCTCAAATAAGTTTGTATAAAAATTCTCTACAGGTTGAATGTTCTTAGGTTGACATAAGAATGTCCTGAAAAGGGGGTGCAACCCAGAGTGTGGGAGAGGCAGAGTGGTCAAAATGGTGGGGATTGAAGGTGCAGAAGGTGGTGAAGTCTGGGAATAAAACAGATCATTTTATTTTGTAACAACTCCTAATCCACTTAATTGTTGCTCAGTTAAATTTTGGCCTCAAAGTAGATGATATGGGTTAATATTAATCTTGGTCAATAAGAAAACAAAACACCTGAATAAAATAGATGCCAAATTAGCTTTGTAATCTTCATCCAGTTTTCCTCATCATTGTGAGTTCTAAAGGACACCTCATTAAAAATTATCCCAGTGCCCAGCCGGGTGTGGCTCAGCCGTTGAGCATTGACCAACGACCCAGGAGATCAGGGTTCCATTCCTGGTAACGGCACATTCTCCAGGTTGTGGACTCAACCTCCAGCAGGGGGCGTGCAAGAGGCAGCGGATCAATGATTCATTTTTGATGTTTCTTTCTCTCTCCCTCTCCCTTCCTCTCTCTGAAATCAATAAATATATATTTAATAAAATAAATAATGAATAAATAAATAAAAATAAATAAAAATAAAAATTATCCCACTGTTTGGTGGAATTGCTCTCCTCATCCTAAAGGCAAACCCCTTTGGTTTTGCTTTCCCAATCTTAAATCAGTTAAGAAAGGTTTTATTAAAGTGGAGATTAAAACCCGTCTGT